TTGGAACTCATTGATGAGCAACCATGCACATAGAAGGAAGTAAAACTCAAGGGAAATCAAGTGGAGGGGTGGGCGGGGAGGAGGGATGTGCGAAAACCTATCTGACAGGTACAATGAACACTATCTGGGTAACGGGCACACATGACTAAAGCATTATAAAAACAGTCCATGTAACCAAAATAATTTTCACCCCCGTAATAGTTCAAAATTTAAAAAAAATTTTTTTAAGAATATTGAAAAAAAGCCAGGTAAGCCCCCCCACAATGAGACTAGAAATCAATGAAATAATAACAATTTAAAAACAATAACAAAAAGGTAACAAAACCAAATTATATAGATAAAATTGGTTAATGGCCGGCTGTGGCTCACGCCTGTAATCCTAGCACTCTGGGAGGCTGAGGGGCGGATTGCTCAAGGTCAGGAGTTCAAAACCAGCCTGAGCAAGAGCGAGACTCCGTCTCTACTATAAATAGAAAGAAATTAATTGGCCAACTAATACATATAGAAAAAACTAGCCGGGCATGGTGGCACATGCCTGTAGTCCCAGCTACTCGGGAGGCTGAGGCAGGAGGATCCCTTGAGCCCAGGAGTTTGAGGTTGCTGTGAGCGAGGCTGACGCCACGGCACTCACTCTAGCCTGGGCAACAAAGCGAGACTCTGTCTCAAAAAAAAAAAAAAAAAAAATTGGTTAATGAAAAAAAATAAGATGCAAATAAATACAGTGTAAGGAAGGAGATACGACTTTAGTCACAACAGAGCATTAAAAATAATTTTAAAATTATGAACTATATGCCAATAATTGAAAGCTTAGACAAAATGGATAAATTCCTGGAAAAATAAAAAATGTCAAAATTGGCAAAATAATTGAATAAACTAATAAGTATTAAAGATATTTAAGTAGTAATAAAAGACACCCCCTTCTCATCAGAGTCTCAAACTCAGTTTTATAAGAAAGCACTGTGGGCCGGGCACAGTGGCTCACGCCTGTAATCCTAGCACTCTGGGAAGCTGAGGCGGGCAGATCACTCAAGATCAGGAATTTGAAACCAGCCTGAGCAAGAGCAAGACCCTGTCTCTACTAAAAATAGAAAGAAATTAATTGGTCAACTAAATGCCAACTAAAAATCTATAGAAAAAAAAAATTAGCCAGGTATGGTGGCGCATGCCTGTAGTCCCAGCTACTCAGGAGGGTGAGGCAGAAGGATCGCTTGAGCCCAGGAGTTTGAGGTTGCTGTGAGGTAGGCTGATACCATGGCACTCTAGCCCAGGGAACAGAGTGAGACTCTGTCTCCAAAAACAAAAGAAAGCACTATATAAAATAGTTTCAAGGAACAGATAATCTTTACCTTACAAAGTTGTTGCAGAAAATAATGAAAGGAGAAAGATTTATTCACTTTAAAACCATGATTCAGTAAAATATAATTCTATTTGGTGTATGAGTTTTAATGAAAAAATAAATATTAACGTACTATATCCTACAGTATATTCAAAATATGATCAAGTTAAGCAATGCAAAGATGGTATGATATCAACAATTTTATTAATGTAACTTACCTCTGTAATGGAGTAAAGATAAAGGGTATGTGATTATCTCAAAAGATGCAGGAAAAAACAATAAATTTTAAAACACTTTGATAAAAATTCTAACATAGCCTTGTTAAAAAATATTTATGAAAAACCTACAACAAACATCATGCTTTAATAGAGAAAATTTCTAGGCATTGCGTTTAACACTGGGAACAGCAGAATGCTCACTATCATGACTACTGACTGTTTAATGTATACGAGGTGCCCTAGACAATGAAGTAAACATGAAAACAATATAAGCCTAAGTATTGAAAGAGAAAAAAATGTCATTGTTTACAGCTCACAAAATCCTTTACAGAGAATAACACAATAGAAAAACAAGTAAACTAGTAGATCTAATGAGAGGATAAACATCCTATTAGAAATTTAATAAAGCATAAGATAAAATTTATAACAATTAAAAATAATTGGGAATTAATATAACAGAACATACAATACTTCTATGGGGAAAATTTACAACTCCATTAAAAGGCATAAAAGATGACCTGAGAAAACAGATGTGGCATGTTTATGCATGGGAAAACATCACAAGAATGTCAGCTCTCTCCTGTTTACAAATCCATTGCAAGTTCATTCAAAATTCCAGTAAGAGGTTTTGAGCACCTTAACATTTATTTGAAAATGTATATGGAAGAATCAAGGTCCGTGAATATCTAAGTTTTGAAAAATAAGAGAGGACACTTGTCCTATCTAACAGACAGTAAGATATAAGTTATTAAAATAAGACAATAAGAAATTACAAGGCCAGGGTATTAGAACTGTTGTGATATATTATCATGGAGAAACCATAAGTGGAGGGGAAAAGATGAATTATTAAGCAGATTGAAGTGAGGAAACTAGCTCAATATATGTGAAGACATACAAAGTTGGATATCTTCCCATATACAAAGGTTAATCCCCGATTCATCATTTATTCAACAAATACTTATTGAGCATTTAATATGTGTGGAGGACTTTTCTAGACAGTTGGGGTATGTCGGTCAGTGAAAATGGCAAAAGTCCTTGCCATTATTAAAACCCTAGCTGTAGAGGGTAAAAATATGAAGTCAATACAAGAAGAATGTAGGATAATTTTTTGATGATCTCAGAGTGGGAAGGGACTTTTTTAAACAAAAACTCATAAACCCCACAAAGTAAAAGGCAAAAAATACTTGATAGGTTTGATTATGTCATGATTAAATATGAGGACACCTTATGACCCACCCATGTAGCCCAGAGAAACTCTTATAGTTCCATACAAAGATTCATGCAAGGAAGCTCATCATGATGTTGTTTCTGGCAGCGGGGAATAGGAACCAACCTAGGTGCCTACCTCTAGAGAAACAAGCAGAATGTGCACACTATGGAGTACCCTGCAGCAGTTAGCGGCACTGAATTAGATGTATACTCAATAATATAGAATGAAATCAAACAGTACCACATGAAAAAAATAACAGAATTGGAGCAATAGCTCCATATCATGCACATAAATGTCAAAGATATATATTCATAACTAATACTATATATTCTACAAGGGTACACACATACCCAAGGGCATATACCAAATATGTAGAGCTTGTTCCTTTGGGAATGAGAATTAGAATGAAGAGAAGAAAAATGAAATAAAACAAGGTTCTTATACGGACTGATGGTGATCATGAATTAAGAACTAAGGAGTGTGATGAATTCAACAATCTGTACTTAAGTCCAAAAAAGTAAAAAAAGGAAAGACAGGTAGATTCCCACTGTAATTGTTAAGAGAAGAGGGTAGAATCCAATGATCTTGAGTTGGAAAGTATCTTATCAGTCACGCAATCTAAATTTCTTCTCAAGGCAGGAATTCTCTCTCCCAAATCCTTGGAAAATATCACCCTCCACTTGAACTATAACACAGGGCAGACTGTTAGAGTGTTGGATAGCTCCAGTGGGTTCAGCATGCTTTCATAAATTTGTCTGAAACTGCCCTCCTGTAAACATCCAACCATTGGTCCGAGTTCTGCTGTCTGGCACTGTACCCAGTGAGTTTATATCCTCTTTTGCAAAACAGCAGTTTGAACACTTGAAATTGCTGTTAATAGTTTAAGTTTTCTCTTCCAGTACCACAAACCCAGATTTTTCAATTGTTCCTCATGTGACCTGTTCAGGGTCATCTAAAAAGTATCAGGGATTTATAGCATGACATCAGCTATTAAATGTGGTTTGCTTGTTTGAGAAATGTACAAGCATTGTGCAAGATGCTATGCATGAGTGCTCAAAAAACCATAACAAAAAATGCTTCTAGGAGAGTTATAATTGAAAGCATCCCGAACTAATAGTCTTGATCTATTGGACTTTGAAATGTATAATGTTCAAGCAAATCTCTGCTATGAGTGACCACATTTTATATACTGACTTATTCATTTATTCAAGAAATATTTCTTAAATATATTTTTTGTGCCAAGGATTGCTATGGGCTTTGAAAACTGGAACATACTTCTCAGTACCATGGAGAAAGAATCAAAGACCTAGAATTGAATCTCAGGGAGCAGGCTCACTTCTGGTGTCCTTTGCTGAACCAACAAGAAGGATGTGGCTCCCCTAGCTCTCTGGATATGTCCGCATTTGACCACTTCTCTACCTGGTGGTAGCCATGGATTGGTGTGACCCCAAACTCACAGTGGTTCGTCCCTTGGGCTCCAGCCACAATGTCTGTTCACATTATCTGTAAATCTAGAGCTCCTCTCTTTAATAACTTTGAAGACAAGACCAATGGGGTGAAATAAACCACTAAGGTTTGAAGATAGTTAAGGGAAAGGGCATAGAATCTGGTATATTCCAAACTAACCAGGTCCTCCGTAACATTCTGAACTAGCAGCAAAATTCAAGGGGCTTAAGAAACCAATTTAAGAAACCCTTCAGAAATGTGCTTCTGGTCAATAACTTCTAGGAACTGGGCACAGCTCTGTGCAGCACACATTCTGCACTGTGGAGGCTGTAAGGGAGGCCCAACTGTGCTTTGATGGCACCTAGAACCTAGTTGGGAACATCTTAAAGATCTCCACATATATCACTGTATGGGACCACTTCCATGCTGCTGAAGTAGCTGGTGCATAGGTGCAATTAGGCAAAATCGGGGAGACAGTGTGTCCAGGGCAAAGAAGGAGACGAGCTAGAAGGAGAGTGGCCCAGGCTGGAAGGAGAGGGGTGCATAGGCAGGTCAAGGTGCTTGAGGTGACCAAGACCAGTACAGGCAGCTGCAGAGAACGTGTTGGCTGTTTTGGGAGGCTGAGACCTTGACCCCTCACTGATCCTGGACACATCTCCATCACCCCTAGATCCTCAACTTCACCAGACACACTGGGCAGTGAGTATTGTCCCGCCCAATCACTTATTTTATTTATAAGCAAAGAAACTGAGACCTGGAGAAGGGAAGAGGTTTGTCCAAAGTCACAAAGCCACAGCACCGGATCTCAGGGCTTCAAACTCGCAGCCGAGTGCTCTCTCCTTTGCATGAAGCTGTCTCTCTGCACAGTCAGGAGGAAGGTGTCAACTGTGATGTAGTGGCAGTACCTTTGACAAGTCAAGGAGAATAAGGTTCAGGCTGTCCCATTCCAAGACAGAAGAGTGAGAATGAAGCGGGGCTTTGAAATTGTTCCTGGCCTATGCTTGGGAGGTAGGAGTATGGGGAGTGACCTCTGATGCTTGTGGACAGAACATCTTCAGTGACCCAGACCAGGAGAGTCTGAATTGTCCGCTGGGGTTTGGCATTCTGGTCCTACACCTGCAGAAGTGGGTCACTGGGGACAGCTGTTACCCATCGCTTCTCTAACTTGCTGTGTCCAGTGTCCTTATCTTCAAGGCAAGACGTTGGTATACACATTGCTGTTCTCTGGGGGAAGGAAGCAGAGGACCCGCATGAGACTCCACACTCAGAAGTCGCGCTGACCAGCCCCACTCCAGGGAAAGAAGTCCTCTCCCCAGGCACAGGGCGATCTTGATGCCACATCAGAGTCACATCGTCAAAGGCTGGGGTAACCTAGGGAGCTGTCCTGGCAAAACCAGGGGTCTTATAAATAAGCCAAATAAGCTCAGAGTTTCCAGCACCAGTCTCCACTCGCCTGCAGAAAACCTGTGCCGCCCTCAAGAGGAAGAACACCTGAGCTCGTCCCGAGAAGGCAAAGGGGAGGACGTTTCCCCTTCGGGAGCGGAGGCTTTAGGAGCTCACTCTGCCAGCGCTGACCAAGCACGGCAAGTTGGAACGGTGAGACCTGTGCCCAGTTCTTAGGGAAGATCTCTAAGAGCTCTCCTCTTGGGATTATTTTATCACTGCTGAGACAATGACTACCACCACCCCAACTAGTCCCAGCAACTCATCTGGGTTTGCCTAAGGGCTGCAGCACGGGTACATTCCTGGGTTTCTAGCTCTGCCACCTTTTTATATTTTTTATTCTATAATTTTTGGTGGAAAGTAGCCGTGGACTACATGCAGCAGAACCCACAGAAAGTGATTTTGTGTGTATGTGGGTGTGTACGCATGAGGGTGTGAGGGGACAGATAAATAGTGTAGACGAGGGGCTTTTATTTTATTATTGTAACTCCATGCTTACTTAGTCTTATTGGGGAGGTGAGAAGCTAGCTGTGGCAGCTGAAAGGTTGACTTCCCTGCAGACAGAGCTGAATGGGAGTGGAGTGACTGCAGGCTCCCCAAAGACTCTCTGTCCTTCTCCCTAGTGAGAAGGACATCTGCTCTCAGCCTGTCACCTGCCCGCTGATAACTGCGTCCCTTTCATGGAGAATATAACCATGCATTCCAACGTGGGAAAACAGGATTAAGCCCTAAATGTATCTGGAAGTCTGAGTTAAATTCAAACTACATCACAACTCACAGATACTAAATTCTTCTCTGAGAGCAGATTGCAAGCATGTGGGTAGGCAAGAGTAGCTAGCAGCTTGTGATATGATTTGAGACGTCTCAGCATGGATTCTCTGTACTCAAATCTACTGACCATCTCTCACCATGACTTAATACCTTTAGGGATGTATCTGAAATAATTTGACACCTGACACTTTATAAATGAATGCTTGGCAAATATTGAGCAAAATGTAACAGGGTGAGCCTTAGGGAAAGAGTAGATGGCCTGAAGTGATTTTAGCATTTGAAAAGTCTGCCCATTTGCCCATTTATCCCCAAACTTGAGTGGTTTGAACACGATCACAGAATGAATTTGAAGTCAGCTCTTAAACCAGGAACCCGCCTGTCAAAGCACAGATAGCTCTATGTCTTGTCTACCTTTAGGGGCTAGAAGACATCACTTCTCAACAAAATGGAAATTGCTCTTAGTAGGATGAAGTTTTGTAGAGATAATGTCATAGAAAAGGCCATTTATCTATACTGGTTCTACGAAGTAGGTTCCTGGTAGAAATGGGATTAAGGATGCTTTCTGACCCCCATGTGAAAGCTTTTACCGTAAATGCCGTCCAACTCTAATTTCAATCTTCTCCATCTCATGTAGGGGGTTGTTCTCTTTATTGGCTTTATAAGGTGAACCACCAGCCCTTGACCTGGTTTTTCAAATTTGGAGATCAATTCCTTTAGGTTTGGAAAGATCTGTTTTGGAGCACCTTCCACAGTCTGCAAAAAACACAAGAAAGGAGGTTGATCACTCCTTATTGTGCAGTTATGTGTGAAATGTGACACTTCTCAAAACGGTGGTTTTCAAGGCGTTCTCTGTAAGCTGACAAATTGAAAACAAGTGGCCAACAGCTCATGCTTAAGAGCTCACACCACTTGCAATTTACCCTCATTTTTTAAGACCAAGCTCTGACTTGAGCTACTCTGAGTAAGGAGGTTTGCAATCAAAGGATCCTTAACTCTGTGAGCAGTATTGAATGAGCGCCCATCCCTGGCAAGTTTGTCCAAGGGAGTTCTTGTAGATGCACGGTGACGGGTACCCTTCCAAGAGCTTATGTCAGATTCTGCCTTGCTGGCTATTTTAGCTGACTAACAGAAGTGGACTTCTGAGGGGAAATGCAATATGCAAATTACATACTTGTTGAAATCAGAATCTCCACATGAAACAAGACCAAAAAAGTCTTAATTTAAATTGAGATTAGGAATGTCAACATGAGGCAGTTAAATTGTAAATAGTTGTTTTCTGTTTACCAGCTATAAACCAAGTACTATTTTCTTAATATAACCTTACAGAAATAATTTAAAAACAAAAAGAATCTTCTTTTGCTCTTATATTTTTGGTTTAGAAAAGTCTAGAAAACCAAAATACAAGAAAGTGGCGATAAGAAGGTTTTCTTACGTGCAGTGTGGTTAACCTCCATAACAGAGGTGCAGGCTGACCTTGATGTTGTCTGCAGGGAAGTCCCTTTAGGGCAGTCACTTCAAGCCAGAGTGCCATCCACTGCAGGCCTCTGAGTGCAAAGCTGCTCCCCACTGACATGCCCCTCTGTGTCTGAGTTTGGATTCACTGACTTGGATGCCCCTCCGTTTTGCCCAGACAAGAGACAAAACAGGGTACTGAGGAATTATCCAGAATTTCCCAAAGTACAGCAGAGAAAAAATGTTTTGAAATAAGTTGCTTTTTAGAAGACATTTTATCTTGAAATTATTTCAGACACAGCAAAGTTGCAAAAATCGTAAAAAGAGAAAATTCACATATATATTCTTTACCCATGACACAAATATTAACATTTTATATATGCTTTTCATTCTCTTTCTAAAATATATATATGTGCATGTACATATGCACATATATATACATATATACATGCACAATATCTGTATATTATTTAAAATTTTTTTTCAGAGTTAAGTTGCAAACATGATATTCCTTTAAATATTTCAGGGTTTCCTGAAAAGTAAGGACATTACAAAATCACACTACAATGATTAAAATCAAGAGATTAACTTTGATATAATACTATTTGCTAATTGTATTTAAATTCTGAATTTATTTAAATTCTGCCAACTTCCTCAATGATGTCTTCTGTAGCAAAAGAAAAATTATACAAATGAGCCGTTTGGGGGTCATTGTATATTCTAGTCTCTTTCAGATATTCATAGTAAACATTAGCATATTGAAGATTCTGAGAAATCCTGTAGTCTGCTTGACCTTATATTGCAAGTGTTTCAGAAAGAGTATTTCAGGATGATTTTTCTCTTAGTAATTAAAATTCAGTAACGTTTATTATACTCCACTTCCTAAGCCAGAGAACTAAATTCAAAAGAAGCAAAAAGATTTTTCTGTTTAGCTCTCAGTAAACCAGAAAAATTAAACAAATTCCTAAGACTTCCAGCTATCTGATGCTTCTTTATATTTTCATACGACTCTAGTTGTAGACTTGATTTCCAAACATTCAGACCTCTCCTCGCCTTCCCTTCCCACTTCCATCCTACATCACTGTTTAGTCTTCCAGGTCGGTGCATTTCACCACTGGAGGAACCAGAGTTGGATGACAGCCATGGTTATTTAGAAGTGGAACCCACGTCTAGTACCTTCTTTTTTTTTTTTTTTTTTTTTTTTTTTTCTTTTGGCCACAAAGTATCTGCTGATAGTACCTTCTTATTTCTCTCAGAGAAAGAGCAGGCTAACTATTAATCTGACTCTGAACTCTGCCTAGCTATTCCCTTGGTGGAGTGCCTTCACGTGGTCACATTCCAGGTTCAAGAGATGATCTCAGGTTCTCCACCTCCAACTTTTTTGTTTTTGCTGTTGCAGGAGTCCATATATGTTCTTACCTCTATCTGGTAATGCCCGTGTTTCTCTCTGAAGATTCGGTATGTGTAGACAAAATTTTTAAACCTGTGGAAAGATGACTGTGTTGTAATGTTCTTATATACAAATCCAAGTAATACCTATCATCATATTTTGTATGCAATATCTTTGTCAATCTTAAATCCCCCCCCAAAAAAAAACTCAGTGCATTTTCTGCTGCTGTAACAGAATACCACAACTGGGTAAATTGTAAACAATAGGTGTTTATTCAGCTCACAGTTCTGGAGGCTGGAAAGTCCTAGATCGAGGGGCTAGTGAGGGCCTCTTGCTGTATCATTGCATGGTGGAAGAGCAAGTGAGCATGTGTGGGGCAGAAAAAGAAAGGGTGGGGGCCAAGCTTATCCTTTAATAGGGAGCCCACTTTCTCAATAACTAACCCACCTCCGAGATGACAGCACTAACCCATTCCCCAGGGCAGAGCCCCTATGACCTAGTCAGCTCTTAAAGGTCCCACCTCTTAATATCATTATAATGACAACTTATTTTAATGCCTTCTGTTCTTAATATTTTATAAATGCCATTTGTAAAACTTTTAAAAAGAAATATGATTTTTGCAGTGCACATTTTTACTAAAGATTTGTAAAAAGACCTGGGCCTTCTACCGCCATCACTAATGGTGACAAGGAAGCCCCTCTCCACCCCTCAGCACTCACAGTCTTGCCTCCACTCTCTCTGCCTTGAATTCATTGGGCTAAACTTTCAGTATGCCTTTTATCCCTGTTTGTCAGTCATTACTAGAACCCCCAGTCTTGCAGGGCACCCTTATCTCCTGCATTCGAATCCCACAGCCCACTCACTATGGAGCCTGGGGGTGAGGCCAGTGTTCTTGCTCTCATGGCTCTTCAGTGCTGCTCTCTTCCTCCCCCGAGTCCTCGGCTTTGAGTTTCATATTATTGGACTGTATGACTTACTACCCGTCATTGTTGTTGAGATCTGACCCTTGGGCTCATTTCTCCAGGTTTTAGTGCCTAGCTCACAATACTATTCTTGTCTAAACTTCTGACAATTTCAATTCATGCATAGACCATCCAACACCCCAATTTCTCAGTTCCTCTAAGTCCTCTCCTCCAGTGATCTTGTCCTCCACCTACTTCAGCCACTCACTCCCCTGTTCATAACCAGGACTGGCTACATAATTTGCTGGTTCCAGGACAAAATGAAAGTGTAGGCTCCCTTGTTAAAAAACTATTAGCAATTTCGAGATGATAACAGCAGAGCATTAAGCCAAGTGTGGGCCCTCTGAGGGGAGGACCCTGTGTGATTGCATGGGCTGCATGCTATGATGCTAGCCCTGCTCATAACTTTAACCTTGTAATTGCCAGTAACTGCAACCCTTTCCTGATCTTAGTTCCATGAATCCCACTCTTTTTTCCCTCCTTCCTATCTTTTCAGATCCGTTCCTCTAGTTCATTGATCCCAACAATCCCTGGACTCCATGAACCCCCCCTCCAAACCATTGATTCCGCTTTTCACTGTTCCTCATTCACATGTCTTGACTCCCTTCTTTACCCAGTTTATATTATTCATATTATAATCCTTCTCTTATATACATTCTTGACTCCTTTACCGTCTTTCACTTTGTTTACTCAATTAGCAACAATAGAACTCTGATTAAATTCAATTTTCTTCAGCTATTTGTGGCTAGGAAGAAACACACAGCCGTGTAGGCTGGTTTCACTTTAAATTAATGACCACAGACCTTGACCAGGCTGTTAGTGCTTGTGGGCAATTATTTAGTTCCCTGTTGACAATGATTCTACACATTCTCCATTTTCTTAAATCTCCAACATTTTCTTTTCCATCCTCACTGTTAACTGATGACTTCACTGAGAAGATTAAAGCAAACAGTAGAGAATTTCCAGACTCCCACCACCACAGCAATTAGCATCTGCACTCATACACTCTGCTTTTGTTATTATACCATAGATGAACTTTGAGTGTGGCTCTCCAAAACTAATCCTTCCTATTCCCACTGGCTGCCAATCCCTGTTCATCTATTCAAGGACCTAGTCCTAGCAAGTCTTCCCTCCTTCTCTGACATCATCATTATTATTCTTTACATGACAGCCTGGGTGGTCCTTTAAAAAAAATGTGAGTCAGATCATGTCACTGCTCTGCACAAAAATCTAGGCTTAGAAGAGTCAGGACATGTGCTCGCTTCGGCAGCACATATACTAAAATTGGAACCATAAAGAAAAGAGTCAGGACAATTTTAACAAGAAAAATAAGATCGAGAGATGTGTGTGTGTGTGTGTGTGTGTGTGTGTGTGTGTGTGTGTGTGTGTATGTTGGGAGGAGATGTTCCTGTTTTAACAGGTCTTAAGTCTTCTTTTAAGGCTGTAATTAAAATAATGAGGAATTGGTTCCAGTGTAGAAAAAGGTATTAATGGCATAAAATAGAGAGCCCAGAAATGGACTCATAGATATGTGAAACCCTGATATATGAAAGAGGAGACACAGCAGATAGGTGGGGAGCAGGGGATGGACTAATTAGTAAGTGGCAATGGTGATGTTTTCAACGTGGAAACAAATAAAACAGGATCTCTGCTTCACACTCTGAAGACTCCATTATGAAAAAGCAAAACATTAAACTTTGGAGAAATAAATAGAAGTGAACAATGTAATGACCTGGAGTTAAGGAAGGAGTTCTTGAATCACAAAAAGTACAAGCCATAGAAAAGATTAATAAATTCATTATATTAAAACTAAATTTTCCATTTATCAAAATATACCGTTAGTAAAGTGAAAAAGTCCACAGATTGGGAGACGATAATGGCAACACTAATATATAATAAAAGCACTATTATACAACAAGGAAAAGACAAATGAAGTGGCCAAGAGACATGTGAAAAGATGTTTCGCTATCAGTCAGGGAAAAACAAATTAAACAACCATTAGATATCATTTTGTACCAGATTGGCAGAGATATTAGAGTTCACTAATGTGAAATATTGGCTGCGATGTGGAGCTACACAAAATTTTATATGCTACTGATGGGAATGTAATTAGATACTAATATCTTGGAGAACGATTTGGCAAAATTTAGTAAAGTTGAAATGTGTACTATCTATGAGCCCAAATGTCTATTCCTTGGGATGGCCATACTGGAACAAAATTGAATATGCCAAGATTTTATTATTTATTAAAAAGCAAAGATCAGTGAAATTAAATATTTAATACATTTTTTTTTTTGAGACAGAGTCTCACTTTGTTGCCCAGACTAGAGTGAGTGCCGTGGCATCAGCCTAGCTCACAGCAACCTCAAACTCCTGGGCTCAAGCGATCCTCCTGCCTCAGCCTCCAGAGTAGCTGGGACTACAGGCATGCGCCACCATGCCTGGCTAATTTTTTCTATGTATATTTTTAGTTGTCCAGATAATTTCTTTCTATTTTTAGTGGAGACAGGGTCTTGCTCAGGCTGGTTTCAAACTCCTGACCTTGAGCAAACCTCGGCCTCCCAGAATGCTAGGATTACAGGCGTGAGCCACCACGCCCAGCCATATTTTCTAATATGAAGTGCTATTAGATGAAATTAATTAAAATGCAATATTTAAAAATAAAAACCCCATAAAACTTACTGTTAATAAATTCTAGTTAATCCTAAAAATTGAAAACAAAATAGTTGTTTTTCAAGTGCAATTGTGAGGTAAAGGACAAGGAAATAGGACGGTTGAAGGGAGGGAGAAGGAAGGCAGGAGGGAGAAAGAATCTAAGGATTTCTTTCTGTGGGCAAATTTTTTCAGCTGTTGGAAAAGCTCTATTTGTTTACATTAGTTGGGCAATGGTACAGATGTAAGCATAAGCTGACTGCAAATACTTCCCTCTGACTCATTCTTCTTCAAATAATCCCATCTCCTGTTCTACAACTTTGAAAAGATCTTTTTTGAACATTTTAGATTTTTATAGAAGTTGATATATTTTTATTGAAAACAAGCTATAAATTTTGTTACTTAAGCCCTTAGTAATGTTGGTGATTAACTTTGTAAATTCCAGATGTTTACCAACTGCACTGAAATACCTTTTATCCAAACACACAAGCAATACAATTAAACAGATAAAAATGGCTTACCACTAAGTATTAATATTATTTTTTCCATCAACCTAGAAGTTCAATATTTTGAGGGAAAGGCTACATTTTTATTCTCTAGTAATTCTCTTTTTTGGAGGTGTTTTTTTTTTAATAATCTGAAACAGACCTCAAATATTCTAAAAATTCATATCCCTGATTTTTCCCCTTTAATTTGGGAGGGTGAGATGGGGGAGAGGAGGACTGGAGGCTGGTTCTCCAGGGAAAGAAGAGGGGAGATAGGTAAGTGGTATTTACTTAGGGTATTCCTATCTCAACAAGTCTCAGGCCTTCTTATAAAGCTATGATAATTAAGATAGTGAGGATATCATAATGCCCTCACTAACTGCCAAGAGAGCTAGTGGTACAAAGCAGCTGAGATGATGATTCAGGGCATGGAGAGCTTCAGCTGAAGTATCTTGGGATGGGGAAAAAAGAGGGAAACTTCTGAAAAACAGTCATCCATTACTATCCAAACCTACCACTTACTATACTGAATTTTGATTATCTATTTACTTGCCTGCAACCCACACAAGGCTGTGAGTTCCACAAGGACAGAATCATAATGTCTGCTTTGTTCATTCTAGCACATTGCCTGACTCATAGTGCATACTCAATAAATATTTGTTGAGTTGCATTGAATTATCTTAAGAAATGTGCCAAGCCTATATGAAGAAATCTTACCAAGAGACATAAAAGAACACTTCAGCAAATAAAGGGAGATTCAAAGTTTTGGGATAGAAAGACTGACTCTTGTAGAAATAATAATTGTTTATCAAATTACATTTTAATTTGCATTTCTAGCTCTAACCTTCCCCTGAACTCCAGACTCATTGATCCAACTGTCTACTTAATATCTCCTCTCAGACATCTAGTAGGCATTTGACACTTAACGTGTTCAATAGCAGCATATACCTGTGGTGGATATTCTCTGTATCTCCAGATCCTCTGTTTAACCTTCCCCATTCTGCCCTGTGCTCTGACTTCTGAGACCCCAAGCTGGGCTCCCTTGCCCTTGGGCTTCTGATTAGGTTCAGCCATGGGAGACATATGTACAATGAGCATCTATGGAGACAGATAAGAGGATGTTAAACCAAGGATGAAATAAAAGATTGGTTTGGCTGAATTCATCAAAAAGGGCACAATCACCTAGGATTTGGAATTTAATGTATTAGCTTAAGCACTTGAGAATGGCATAAATGTTCTGCTAGACTGGTTAATTGAAGCCTGCATTCAATAATGGCCTATATTCAAGAGATCAACAGGCCAAAACTTCCCTGGCATTCTATAGAGAAAGAAATCTGACAACTCAGGGAGATGAGAATGTTATAATGGATCTCTTACATGCAGGCTGTTCAGTCATGTCCCATGCCCCTCCAGGGCATGCACTAAAACACCTTCATGATGCACTAAAAACACAATGTGAGGAGAGCACCAGCATGTCTAAAAATGGTAGCTGTCCTCTGAAGTCTTGAGTTGACAGTGGGAAATATTGCAATGGAACTGAGTGCCCTGATTTCACTGGAAATAACTGTATACCAGGAATAGTAAATGTCAAATCTCACTCAAATGAGACTCATGAAGTACAGAACAATTACCATGATGACACAGATGAAAGAAACAGCAGACAAGGACATTAATAGTTATTGAAATTATTCCAGATGTTCAAGAATCTGCAGGTAAAATAGAGTTTTAAGGTACAGGCATACCTTATTTTATTGCACTTTGTTTTATAGAGCTTTGCAGATATTGCATTTTTTTTACAGATTAAAGATTTGTGGCAACCCTGCATTAAACAAGTCTACTGGTGCCATTTTTCCAACAGCATGTGCTCACTTCATGTCTCTGTGTCACATCTTGGTAATTCTTGCAATATTTCACTTTTAAATTATTATTACATCTGTTCTGGTGATCTGTGATCAGTGCTCTTTGATGTTACAATTGTAATTGTTTTGGGGCACTGTGAACAATGTCCACATAAGACCGTTAATTGATAAATGTGTGTGTTCTGTCTGCTCCACCAATTGGCCAGTTGCGTGCTTCTCACTTTAAATAAAAAAAACTAGAAATGAGTAAGTTTAGTGAGGAAGGCCAAGCCAGGCCAAAAGCCAGGCCTCTTGCACCAGTTACTGAAGTTGTGAATGCCAAGGAAAAGTTCTTTAAGGAAATTAAAAATGCTACTCCAGCGCACACATGAATGATAAGAAAGCCAAACAGCCTTATGGTTGATGTGGAGATAGTTTTAGTGTTCTGGATAGATCAAACCAGCCACAGCATTCCCTTAAGCCAAAGCATAATGCAGACCAAGGCCCTAACTGTCTCTTCAATTCTGTGAAAGCTGAGAGAGGTAAGGAATCTCCACAAGAAAGCCAGTTCTCATGGTTCATGAGGTTTAAGGAAAGAAGCCAGCTCCATAACATAAAAGTGCAGGGTGAAGCAGCAAGTGCTGATGGAGAAGCTGCAGCAAGTTATCCAGAAGATCTGGCTAAGGTTATTGATGAACAGAACACTGAACAACAGGTTGTCAATATGGACAAAACAGCCTTCTATTGGAAAAACATGCCATACAGGACTTCTGTAGCTAGAGAGGAGGAGTCAGTGCCTGGCTTCAAAGAGTCAAAGGACAGGCTGACTCTCTTATTAAGGACTAATAATGCAGCTAGTGACTCTAAGTTAAAGCCAATGCTCATTAACTATTCCAAAAATCCTGGGGCCCTTAAGAATTAAGCTAAATCTACTCTACCTGTGCCCTATAAATGGAACAACAAAGCCTGGATGACAACACATCTCTTTATAGCATAGTTTACTAAATATCTTAAGCCTAGTTTTGAGGCCTACTGATCAGAAAAGAGATTTGTTTAAAAATATTACTGTTCATTGACAATGCACCTGGTCACCCAAGAGCTCTGATAGAGATATATAAAAGGAGATGAATGTTGTTTCCTTGACTGCTCATACAACATCCATTCTGCAGCCTATAGATCAAAGAGTCATTTCAACTTTCAAGTCTTATTATTTAAGAAATGTATGTTGTGAGGCAAAAATGCCATAGATAGTGATTCTTCTGATGGATCTGGGCAAAGTAAATTGAAAACCTGCTGGAAAAGATTCACCATTCTAGATGCCATTAAGGACGTTCGTGATTCATGGGTAGAAATCAAAATACCAACATTAACAGGAGTTTGGAAGAAGTTGACTCCATAGCACCTAAGTGGACACATAGGTGCTACAGTAATAGGGTATTGGGCAGGTGGGAGGGGGGAGGGGGCGGGTATATACATACATAATGAGTGAGATGTGCACCATCTGGGGGATGGTCATGATGGAGACTCAGACTTTTGGGGGGGGGAAATGGGCATTTATTGAAACCTTAAAATCTGTACCCCCATAATATGCCGAAATAAAAAAATTAAAAAAAAAAGAAGTTGACTCCAACTCTCATGGATGACTCCAAAGGGTTCAAGACTTCAGTGGATGAAGTAATTGCAAGTGTGGTGGAAACAGTAAGAGAGCTAGAATTAGAAGTGGAGGCTAAAGATGTAACTGAATTGCTGCAATCTCATGATTAATTAAACCTTAACGAATGAGGAATTGCTTCTTACAGATGAGCAAAGAAAGTGGTTTTTTGAGATAGAATCTACTGCTGAAGATGCTGTGCACATTGTGTAAATGTGCACAACAGAGGATTTAGAATATTACATAAGCTTAGTTGATAAGTTAGCAAGGTTTGAGAGGATTGATTCCAATTTTGAAAGAAATTTTTACTGTGAGTAAAATGCTATCAAACAGCATTGCAGATAAATCTTTCATAAAAGGAAGTCAATTGATGCAGAAAACTTGATTGCTGTCTAATTTTAAGAAATTGCCATGGCCACCCCACCTTAAGCAACCACTAACCTAATCAGCAAACCATTAACACTGAGGCAAGACCTCCACCAGCTAAATGATTATAACTTGCTCAAGGCTCAGATGCTTGTTAGCATTTTTTAGCAATAATTTTTTTTTTGAGACAGAGTCTCACTCTGTTGCCCAGGCTAGAATACTGTGGTGTCAGCCTACCTCACAGCAACCTCAAACTCCTGGGCTCAAGCAACCTCCTGCTTCAGCCTCCCGAGTATCTGGGACTACAGGCACACACCACCATGCCTGGCTAATTTTTTCTATTTATAGTAGACATGGGTTTCACTCTCACTTAGGCTGGTCTTAAACTCCTGAGCTCCCAGAGTGCTAGGATTACAGGCATGAGCCACCATGTCTGGCCCTAAAATACTTTTAAATAAGGTATGTACATTGTTTTTTAGACATAATGCTATTGCACATACTAGACTACAGTCTAGTGTAAACACAACTTTTATATGCACTACGAAACAGAAAAATTGTGTGAATTGCTTTATTGCAATATTCACTTTGTTGTGATGGTCTGAAACTGAACACACAATATCTCTAAGGTATGCCTATAGAAACCTGAAAGATGTAAAAGAGAGACCTAGATGAAATTTCTAAAGATAAAAACTACTGTGTGTGAGATAAAGAAAATATTGGATGGGATTAGCAGCAGAGTTGTCTTTGCAGAAGAAAGAAATTAGTGAATTTGAAGACAAAACAATGGAAACTATCCAAAAAAAAATCAGAAAAAAGACTGAAAAAAATAAACAGAGAAACAGTGAGCTGTGGGACAAGTTTGTGAGGCACAACATATTTGTAACTGGAGTTCTTGAGTGGGAAAAAAAGCATTTAAAGAAATCATGGCCAAAAGTTTCTAAATTTGTTGAAAACCATATCCAAGAAACTCAACGAACTCCAAGCTCAAGAAACATAAAGGAAATGACACTAAGGTTCATCATAAACAAAGTGCCTTCCAATAATAAAAAGAATATCATAAAAGTACTCAAAGGAAATATATACTTGTCCACAGAAGAAGAATATAATACATTAGAAGGATTTTGCTGTCATTTGACACCAAACTTCTTGTCAGAAGCAATGCAAGTCAAGAGACAGTTTGGTAAAATCTTTAAAGTATAAAAGAAAATTGTCAACCTAGAGATCTCTATCCAGAGAAAATCCTTCTAATCCTGAAAGCAAAATGAAGACATTTTCAAATGCATAAAAGCTGAAAAAACTTATACCAATAGACATGTACTACAAAAAATGTTATAGGAAGTCCTTTAGGCAGAAATAAAAAGACACCAGATGGAAATGTGGGTCTACATCAGAGGTTCTCGACCAAAAGTGCTTTCACCGTCAACCCCAGTGCACATTTGGCAATGTCTAGAGACATTTTTGGTTGTCACAACTTGGGTGTGGGGACTGCTAGTGGCATCTAGTAGATAGATGCCAGAAATGCTGTAAAACATTTTATAATTCCCAGGGCATTTCCTTCAACAAAGAATTATCTGTCTCCAAATGTCAATCATGTCAAGGCTGAGAAACTCTGATACAGGCAAAGGAATAAAGAGCACCAGAAATGGTAAATATGTGGATAAAGGAAAAATATTTCTTCTTATATTTAAAATTTAAAAGATAATTGCTTGCTTAAACCAAAAGTAGTAAAAATGCATAGTAGGATCAATAAAATATATAGAAATAAAATGCATGACAATAATAGCACAAAGGATTTGGCAAAGTGCGGGAGAAATGAAAGGGTATTATTATAAGGTTCTTGTTACTATAGGTGAAGGAGTATAATATTACTTATATATATAATCTATAAGTTAAACATGTATAAATAATAAAATATTAAAAATCAAAAAATTATAGCTATCTAGCTAGCTCTCAAAAGAGATAATTTAGAAATATAAAGAA